GGTTTCAAGTGATTCTCCTGCTTCAGCCTCCTGCGTAGCTGGGATTACAGGCAAGTGCCACCACATCCAGCTAATTTTTGTATTTTTAGTGGAGATGGAGTTTCACCATGTTGGCCAAGCTGGTATTGAATTTCTAACTTCAAGTGATCCGCCTGTCTCAGCCTTCCAAAGTGCTGAGGGATTATACTTCCAAAGGGATTGCAGGCATAAGCCACCATGCCTGGCCTGGAGGAGTATTTTTAATGGATTTTAAATTTACATTTTACATACTAAGAATATTAACTTTTTGTCTTGTCATATTTTCCTTAGTCTCTATTGTTATTTCTTATTTGCAGCAATTTTACATGCTTTTTGTTAAAAAAAAAATGGACTTTTTTTCAGCTGTCTTTTCCATTGGTTTTAAGCTTTGAAATTTCTTCTTTATTCCTAGAACAAGCAAGTATTAATCTATGTTTTCTTTTTATCTTTTTAAAATTTTCTTATATGTTTGTGATAATATTGTTTTTAAAGAGACAGTCTCACTCTGTCACCTAGGCTGGAGCGGTGCTATTACAGCTCACTATAACCTCCAACTTCTGGACTCAGGTGATCCTCTTGCCTCAGCCTCCTGAGTAGCCAGGACCACAGGTGTGCGCCAACACACTCATCTAATTTTTTAACAAAAATTTTTGTAGAGATGGTGTCTTACCGTGTTGCTAGGCTGGTTGAGCACTCCTGGCCTCAAGCAATCCTCTTGCCTTGGCCTCCAAAGCTCTGGGATTACAAGCACGAGCCACCTGCCTTGGCCATGGTTTGATTTTTTTAAATAAAATTAACATTAATCCAGTTATAATTTGTTTGGGTTATGGTATGAAATAAAGACTTACAATTTCCCAAAATGGCTAATTGTATATATGGCATTAAATAACAACAAAAACAAACATTTTAAAAGTCTTTTTCCCATGCAGATTTGTGACGTCTCTTTAATGCATAAAGTGTACACTGGTACCCTTAACATTGAAAGATTGAAATGTTTGCAACTTTGAGGATTCTAATGATCCCCAAAGACCACAAATGTTAAAAATTGCAAAATAATTTAAAATTATACTTTATGCAAAGTTAATATGGAGTATTCCTGAGTGCTGATTTAAGTTAAAAAATATGTGAGAACAGGCCCCCTAGCACCTACATTTCAATGAGATTTTATTTTCACTCAACAGAAAGTATTTAGCAGGGGAAATTTACATCCTATAAGGAGAGCAAAGTAGTAGCCAGGGCTCCTCTTCAGTTGATTTCTTTCCTTCACAGGAATATTTTATGAGGATCTAAAGTTTATTGCTAGGAAAGGCCAGCAGAAGTAAAGAGATAGCCTATCATTCACGTGACAGATAACCTATCAGACATTCATCAGATTCTCTTCAGGGCTTGTGATGAATAAGGGAATGAGGTCAGGCCTGCCTGATAGAGGAATTTTCCCATACTTGCTTCCAGAGAATATTTGTGGAAATAGTCTCAACAATTCCGTTGCTCCCTGAAGTTTGGAGTTGGGAGCTACGTTCTCCATCTTTCCCTGTGGAGCAGCTTATTTTCTGCTCTCCTGTAGTTATCTATTTACACGATTTCTCCAGAGGTTGTGGTTTGCAAGGCTTGTTAACTTGTTTTTTGAAAAGCAACAAATATTGTATGTATCAATTTCACAGTATTTCTTGGTTTTCTCTATTTTGTATTTATTTTATTTCTTTGGTTAGTGTCCATATTTTTACATTTAAAAGTAACTCATTATATTTAATTTACATAACATTAAAATTTCCAGCTTGTCTCTAAAGCCAAGCATTTTTAAAGTCTTGAAAATATTTTTGGGCCGGGTGCGGTGGCTTACACCTGAAATCCCAGCACTCTGGGAGGCCAAGGCGGGCGGATCACGAGGTCAAGAGATTGAGACCATCCTGGCCAACATGGTGAAACCCCGTCTCTAAAAAAAAATTTTTTTTCTTTTTTTACTTACACATTATATTATTGCTACATCATTTTTTTATTTGTTTTTTTGAGATGGGGTTGTGATGTGTCGCCCAGGCTAGAGTGCAGTGGCGTAGTCACAGCTCACTGTAACCTCAAGCTCCTGGGCTCAAGTGATCCTCCTGCCTCACCCTCCCAAATAGCTGGGATTACAGGTATAAATATTATGCCCGGGTAGTATGTATTTATTTATTTTTGTAAAGATGACATCTTCTCATGTTTCCCAGGCTGGTCTCAAACTCTCGGCCTCAAGCAATCCTGCCTCAGCCTCCCAAAGTACTGGGATTACAGGCGTGAGCCACTGCATCCGGCCTGTTATTACTACAGCTTTCCAATTTTTTGGTATTGATGTTTAAGAATGTGGTGTGCAAAATCTATGTCAGTGATTTACAGAGACCCTGTGCTTAAGCAAATAACCAGTTTTTGTAAAATACATAAGCATGTCTATTTAACTCACTATAAATCTGTTAAACCTAGCCATTTGGATTTTGTAAAAAGAAATCAAAGCAACTATACTATTAAAAATCCTCAATTTTGTTTGCACGCTACATCCTCATAATCTGGTGGTGGGATGATGCCTGCTGAGCTGGCATCAGAATTCCCGGGTTTGAGCCTGGAGTGACGTGACCTAGAGCAAGTCTCTAATCTTGCGGGAGCTTAGCTTCTTTAACTGGGATAAAAGGCTGATGAGTTCTAAAACCCCTGAGAGCCTTTCCACCATTAATATTTTGTATTTTATTATTTTTACCCGGTATTTTTTTATTTTAGGTATTTTTTCATTTTGAAGCATAAAATTCAATATTTATGTTTTAATTATTTATTTGTACTAATCACTGTATAATAAGTATTTATTTAATACACACTGCAAAAAACAAATGTTTGATCATTGTAACAGCCATGTTAGTTCAATAGCATCATTCCCATATTTGGGATTAGGAGGCTGAGGCTCAGAAGACTGACTTGTCTAACTCTCCATGGAAGACACTGTTCCCTGCAATATTACTGATAGAATTTAAAAAAAAACAACTCCTTTTCCCAAACTGCCTGAACCCAGCATCCAAAAGCAACACTGGCATTTAATCATTACCCACGGTTCAATCATCAGCCATGGGTGCCTCCAAACTGTGACTTCTGCTTCCATGCAAAAAAAGAAAAAAAATGCCACCACACCCAACTAATTTTTGTATTTTTAGTAGAGTTGGGGTTTCACCATGTTGGCCAGCATGGTCTCTATCTTGTGACCTCGTGATCCGCCTGCCTCCGCCTCTCAAAGTACTGGATTACACACATGAGCCACCACCGGTAGTCCCAGCTACTAGGGAGGCTGAGGCAGGAGAATCGCTTGATCCAGGAGGCGAGGTTGCAGTGAGCCAAGACTGTGCCACTGCACTCTAGCCTGGCGACAGGGCAAGACTCCATCTCAAGAACAAAACAAAACACAAAAAATCGTGCCAACTGATTGCAGATTTCTTTAGATTCAAGCCATGTGATTGTAACATTCTCTTTCTTCTTCTCTTTGCAAAGCCCCTGCCTTCCCACTCTCCTCCGTGGAGTCGGCTATCTGCTGCATCGCAGGCAGTCTCCTCGAGCCTGTGGCACAGCACAGCATTCCCCAAGGCT